TAGGGACACCAGACTCCGCAGTCCACCTGATTACCACAACCTTCGCCGCGAAGCTACACTCTCAGCGAGGAGCGATCATAAACGATACTGGTCTGAGATTGCAGGCCCAATGGAAACAGTAGCCGGTGTTGAAGACTTTGGGAAGCTTTCCCGACTCATTCGCTCTTCTTCGGGAGAGGCGCAACCTCCCCTCACGCTAAGCAATGGTAGCGGCCACCTCATATCGGGCTGCGACCAGAAGCTTAAAATATGCACCGAGTACTTCAGTCAGCCGCTCAACCACCCTTCCATCCAATCTACCTGTGTATCGGCATCAGGCGATATACGAGAACATGCAATCGATCTCGAGCCTTCTGACGAATCGGAAATCATCACCGCAGCTCAAACAATAAAAAACAAGAATTCACGAGAGGGGGGAGGGGAGAGAGGACATCCCACCCGAGATCTGCAAATCCTGTTTGCCAATTCGATTGGACCCACTCAGTACGCTCTTCTGTTGTACCTGGGACACCGAAGTTCGTCCCAGAGACTGGCCAACCTTTATACTACTCTGTGTACCAAAAACGGCGACAAGACTGTCTGTGCCAACTGCAGGGGTATCAGCCCTATCGATATAGCAGCTAAGCTTTTTGCGGCCATTGTGCTAAATCGCTTTGTTGCTGTTTGACACGCGCGAACACGCTCTAGCCAGTGTTGTTTTCGTCGAGGAAGAGATTGTGTTGACCAGAATTTCACGCTACGGCGAATTCTAGAACATTGCTATAAATCCCAACACACCACAGCGTACTTCATTGACCTTCGGGCAGCATTCGACTCCACTGACAGACAGTTACTTTGGAGCGTACGACGAACCAGCGGGATACCCGGAAATTATATCCAATTAATAGGACCATACTACTAAACAATACAGACACGCGTCCGCGCCCACGGTGGGGAATCTACAGAGTTTCTAATCGACTCCAGCGTCCGTCATGGGTGCTTTCTATCACCAGTCCTATTTAACTACGCTATAGACTGGACAACGCATCACGCCCTCAATAACTTTCGAAGAATACATCTTGGTCACGATTCTTAGGTTACAGACCTCGAATTCGCCGACGACATTGTCATTCTAGGAGAGGATCCCAGAACCATGCAGCCGATTCTCGGCCGTACCGTATGTGAAGCCAAAGCTGTTGGTCCACAGATAAACACCAAAAAAACGAAATTATTCACGACTTCGCTAGGCTTAACACACTTTATACGCGTCAATGGCAAAATTCTGGAACAGGAGTATCATTTCAAGTACTTAGTTTATACTACCCAGCCAAATGGCCAGGTCAGGGACGAGGTTAAATTTCGTGTAGACTGCACAAGGAGAGCGTTCCTACAACTTAGAAAATCCCTGTAGTCTCTCAGTGAAATAAGCCTCCACATGAAGCTCCGCATATACCAAGCTGCCGTCCTCCCGGTTCTTACGAACGCCGTTGAGTGTAGACAATACGAAAAGGCTGGAAAGCTTTGATCACTGGTGCCTTCGCTACATGGCCATAATCAAGCAGTATGATCGCGTCACAAACCCCGCTATGCGTCAACACTGCGCGAATACATAACGATTTCCGTTTTTTTCCAACGACGTCGCCTACAATCGTTCGGTCATGTCTTTCGATGACCCGAAACGGAACCTACGAAGAGGAGCTTACTGCCCTCCCCCTGCTCAAACTAGAAATGTCGCCTTGGTGGTCAACTGAAGAAATGGGTTAGAACTATTAAGGCAGACGTGGACCGTCTGGGCCTTCAGTCCGTCTTCGGAGTACGCGATTGGCGCAACAAGTGGATTTTACAGTGTGAAGACCTTGCCGTAGACCGGAACACGTAGACAACTACCATCAGAAACATCCAAGAAGCCGACTTATTCTCTCGCAGGAGATAGTCGCATAAAAGTAAGATCCACTAATAGGGGCCATATTAATGAACTATGCGTAAGAACTGACACAACTGCTGCAGTGTACACTTACCCCTTGAAGGTGTTCCCATGAGTGAATTAGTGAGAGGTCAGTTTTCTTTATCATACGACATTATCTTATTTTACTAGCACTTTTATTGCAGTAAACTAAATATATCGTTTCATTCGCAATTCTACCAATAGTTCTCTGGTCCCATTTCAGCTGTATGGCCTAATTTCAAACTTTTCAGAGCCCAGATACGACTAAATCGACTTCTCTATTCATCTCTTTTTATTAACTTGTACGTCAAAATCCGTCACGACGACCGATGCAGTATGGAATTCTTTCTATTCGTGCAGTTCATGGGAGATGTTGGACGGGTACTGCTAGGGTGTCCAGCCACAAAGCAGGCGTCATCTTGCTCCCATGCCAGATGAAGGTACTTCAATCAAATCACACTCCACACTCCGAAATTACACCCAATCAAGAATCACTTACATAAACATCTAATCACCTGCAAGAATCTAATCCCTCACATCTGCACGATCCAAATGTGGCACCGGATTCTGTCTATACTTTGATACACAAACAGCAACGAGTCCGCCCATACTCACTGAGAAACAGAGAAATTTATTCTGTGTACATTCACATTATCATCCTCGATCATCGACCATTTTCGCACACAACCTTTCACAGACACTCCCATGTACCGATTTTCCACAAAATAAAATTGGTTTTATCATCCATTAGAACTTTTCACACACTACACCTTTTGCACAAACTCAGTCAGTTATTGGCAGGGGTGAATGTTATGAACTGGAACTTTGATTGGTCAGTCAATTTTTGTATTACTCGTTATTTCATGTATCACATGTATTCACATCTATCTTCCCTTTTGTTGTAGCACCGCACTCCATTTATCGGTTAATTAAAGCCTCTGATTCGGCCTACACCTTTTATACTCAAAGCACCTGATTGACTGTTGAGCTATCACAACAGATTAAGCGTGCCACGCGAGCAGCCGGGTGACCATTGTTCTGTGTGTTGATCGGTCGCAGCTAGAATTGAACTTCGCACCTCGGACTAGATAGTCTACGACTTATTCAACTTGGCCACGACCGAGGAAATGACGTAAATAAGAAAATAATACTGGTCCACCACCGTTCATATTGTCTTAATCTAAATGTACTTCATGCATCCAAATCAGACGAAAAAACTGTCCCGTTCGAGGAAGAGAACCGGGTTAGCTTTCGTGCTTTTAGGCGGTAGGAACAAGGCCCTTGCTTAATCATCCAACGAATTTACCAACGAAGAGTCCAAATCACAGAAGCTTATACCCAGATACGATCGAGAAACAATTAGACCCATCGATTTCGAAAAAGGGTCACTCTGACTATGAAATACTCAATAGGTGACAGCACAGGAAGTGACATTTCTCGAAAATCGGCGACACGTTAAACAGTGAAAATTCTAGAAAGTTAAACAAAACCGATGGAAACATCACGTGAAGACATGTCAATGAACTATGAATGCACTGATATCAATAAGTGTTTATGTGAATTTCCCACCTGGGGATATCACCTTCTCGGTGTTTGTTTCTAGTGTATTCAAACACCGGATAATCGAGTGTTTTAACCTTAACGGTGGGAATTTTCAGAAAACACGGGAATCTAACAGCTCAAAGCACTCTCACATTTTGTCACATGCGTTCCACCCTTGAACAAAAAAACATTCCCAAAAAGCATACCTGTTTCAGTTAGGTTCAGACAATCATTGACTATGGACCGGCAGCAGTGGCTTTGGTTGCTATCCTCAAGCGGCAGCCTCAATAGGAAATAACGAAAAGAACAGGAATATGAAGAAACTAATAAGAAAACTACTAAAATTGATGTCAAATCGACAGAGGAAGTTGGTGGACACACGAGCCCCACTGATCGCGGCATCTAGCCATATCTCTCAACGTATCTAACCATTGATTGTGAGGGTCTTTTGGACCCCGACCCAGGAAATCTAACACGCCCTACATGGCCAAGTCCATTAGTTAGGCTTTTCATACCTTTCTTCCATGTCATGGACTGACCACTTTTACTCATCTTCCAACTGGTACCCGCCTCAGCAAACACAACACGCCGAGGAATCTTGTCAGGGGACATGCGTAACACATGTCCTAACCAATTTAGCCTGGTTCAATCTAATCTAATTATTTCATCCGTCAAACTAAGACTTTCCACCGAACCTCAGCATTACTCACACAGTGTTCCCACCAGATTCGGGCAATACTACGAAGACATCGATATTCAAATACCGACAATCTTCGTATGTCCTCCACACGCAGTGGCCATGTCTCAGAACAATACAGAAGCACGGGCCTGACTGCTGCAGTGTACACTCGACTCTTGATAAATAAACGAATGTCATGTCGAAGCGACAGATGACTCAAGTTGGAAAATGTCAAATGGGCCTTCTGTACACTCAAAAACACCTTATCCGATATCCGACCTCCGGGTGAATTGCACCTCCCTAGATAACAGAACTCGTCTATCACGTTTATGATCTCCCCAGACACTGGAAAATTTGGCGTTGGACCAACCCAATCCTTAAACAGCATCTTGCACTTTGAAGGTGCATACGTGTTTTCGTTCCACCGAAATGATGCTTACTGATATTAAACTGTTAAAAAAGTGGTGTATATGGTTGTCCCGTGTGATTCCTTAGATATTCTTTCAACTGTGGTGCTGGATAAACGAAAGAGAATTATGTCCAATCACATTTGTGTCCTGTGTCAAAGGACTGTGTCGAATCACACACACTCACCATGAAGTTCCAGGGCACCCAGTCAGATCCGAATTAAAAACACCAAATAACAGAACGCATTATGTCGTTTCACCGAGAACATAATCATACATATCTCTGAATTGGTTACTGGAACGGCACGGAAACATGCTAAACAGATGGCAGGATTTTAAAGATTGTCAGCCAAGAATAATGGGGGTGGTAAGCATAAATATACCCCTAGACAAAAGCAGACTGATGAGCGAAAATTGAAAGGAATTTCTGTACAGATATACACATTACCTGATTATGCTAGGAGATACGTTTGTAAGAGCTCCGTGCAGACCCATTTCTACTGCACAAAGATGAAAGTAATCGAAAAATACATCAAAGTGGTGATGCAATCCACGCGTTGGTGTCAGCTGCACACGAAGCTGACGTTCATACACCTTTTCCAGCGAACGTACTGAGAAAGTACTGAAAGCAAAGAGAACAAAACATGCTGAGTATTCTAGAGTTAGGAGTTTCTTTATCTATTTGTTTGTTTATTTCCTGCTGACTCAAAGCTTTTATCTAAGCAGTTCACTCTATGTCGAGCAATATTTTCATCTGACGGAGTGCTTCAAGAAAACGCTAATAAAAAAACCTAACGAAATCTAACAAACCGGTTTTCAAGAACCTAATACTTTGCATATTAAACTTAGATATCACAGAAAACAAACGAACAATGCATCAGATGAAACAAATAACACCGGTCATTCAAAATCTGGGATGCAGTGTGGTTCCGAAAAAGAAGCATGCAACTAGATTCTGTAGTGCAAACGTTTGCGGGGCCCCATAAGCAGTTTATTTTACGCCTTAAAGGAATATGGGAGACATACTTTACCCCCTGTCTATGAACCTCACAATAATTGAAGACGGCAGAATTACTCGTCTTATCATTAGAAAACTAATGTGAGGAGGCTTATGCATTTAGTTTTGTGGTTGTAACAGTGTATCAAAAACGAAACTCAGTTCAGGCGCCTCATCAACCGACTGGTTATCTGTAATAATCTCAAAGATCAATTGTCCGTCCCTAACCTCACTACAAGAAATTAGTTTCCCTGTCTATTCATATCGTATAAACAATGCAGACAGAATAGCATGAGAGCTGACACGAAACATCAAGGAAAATCTCTATTATGGTCGTGGCGTATCACGTCAAAACAAATGCAAAACGAAGTAATCAAGGCGATTCACGAAACATAAGGGTTTGCCAGAAATTCCAGAAAAAGAAAAAAAATGATGTAGAAATGTGCTTTTGCTGGTCTTCGCCAAATAGTTTCGACATCCTCTTGGTAACCAGGTGTCACGGCAATTTCTTAAAAAAAGCGCACATCATTCGCCATGGCGACCAAATTTGAGTCATGCTCCTGCCTCTAAATGAAGAAAATCCTTATCCCTTGATATATATATATATATATATATATATATATATATATATATATATATATATATATATATATATATACCTTATTTCACTGCTGCTGACTACTTGGATAGGATAAGCCGGCTTCACGAATGTCTCTGACAGCGGTTGCTCGTGCATGCCGCGAGTTCCCTGTAGGTGTCAATCAAGCCATGGTATGATTAACGGAAAGTGTAGATGATATGATCATGAAGTTTCATAACGTCCGCAGCGCCACGACTGCTTTTTGGAGGCACACATCTAGTCACTACACAACCAGGTGCAGGGCGCAAGGCAGTAGCGTTCTGATTCATGGTTGCCGGTGGCTCCGCGGGAGCTCATTCGCCATTCGACTGAATCGAATCCAAACCAGTGGCCTACGCAGCCCTGTTAATTCAACAGGTTTCCTTCAGAGTCGTTGGATTATACAGTTATTCTCATCCGCTCATTCAGATGTAACTGTCTTCGCGTGCCGAACGCCGTCTCGCTAAGGATTCTGAGCATCGACTACCCTCAGCTTTGTTTAGCCCGTCTTCCGAGCGGTACTTCGGGGGGTGGCCGCTGATGAATAGTTCAGCATCAAGAATCCACAGGTGAGAGCTGTGTACCCGATGGAGACCAACAAGATGGGCGATGCCTCAAGAACATGACAGCCTGCCAACTCAGGTGCTATTCCTACAAGACACCCCATACACACCTACAGATATCACATGAAAACTCATAAGTCTAAAAAAAATAAAAGATGGATATAACCTATCCGTGATTTCAGCAATACCAGACTTTACTAACTAACGTGCCCTAGAAGACTTACTTATGTGAACCTTCTTCGGCAAACCAAAGTTCTACACAGAGGAAAACCTCATGTTTTAGAACCGACTGCTCAAGTTTAGAAGGGTCCACCTGGATCAATAACCTTTGCTCGAAAACGTCGTGCAGTTTGACAGACTCTTCTCGATACATGATACGTAATGTCTTGCTGCACATTTTGTCGGGAACGTAGGCTGGGTTAACCTGGCGAGGTTCCACAAACGATGGGTGGACAGCCTCAGGTACAAGCACCCGTGTGTTCGAACGTTTCCAAAGAGTAGGCGGCTCAACAACAACACAAAATTTGGATGATGACTGGTTGGCTGTGGTATTAGAGCTGGATTGTCCATTAACTTTGAAGTAAGTACGAATTTGATAGAACCTATTATAAGATATCAAAATCGCTGTTTTGCCTACCCACGGTGGTACAAGTCCACATTATGAAACTCGCCCAATTCCAAGACAAACGATAGTGTTGCCTGGACTACAGGCATGTTAATTCAAAGTAATCCACGAGTTGAATGTCTCGAAACTGAAGCGTGTGGAAGCAGAATAAATATTATCAGCATTACTTACTTATAAACCAACGTTAATGAAAAAGAAAAAACGATTTCCATTTGATTTTGTTCGAGTTCATTATCTGAAAACGAAGCGAAAAGTTGTTTTCATGAATTTTTGAATGCAATTATCATCGCTATAACATCTGTATAGCGAGAGATGATGTGGCTGAAACTGCGTTTTTCACCACTGAAAAAACGGAGAATGTGTGAGGTTGCGCTTTACATCTGTCTTAAGTCATCATGAAAAGGAAAAGATTGAAGGTATAAAACGTATTTAAGATCCCCCCCCCTGTACAGTTACTCATGCCTTTCATAACAGGTTGAACTTTACTATATTAGTGACGCTGGGGTAAGGAGTTAGAAAACATATGCTAATCTTGAGAAGTGTAAAACCTCCATAAGTAAGAATCGGAACATGCTTGCAATTGGACTACCTCAGTGTAAACTGTTCTGTGAAGCATGTAACAGTTGGGGAGGTCCACGGAAAGTCGAAAAAGTCTGAACATGTGAACTTGGTCATTTACGACGTACCAGAGTTTCACGAGATCGGTCTACAGAATTTGAACTATGGATGCAGATAATAACCCACAGTCGTCCTACTCCTAATCGCGCATGACCTACTAAGGTCCTCTGTGGTTCTACGCCCCATGTCTCACGATCAAGTTGCCGGTTATCCTTAGGAGTAATGGGCCTTCGCGCTAATGTGTTACACCCTCCATCGTACTCATGCGTAGGCGCGCAATAAAAAAAAACTGGGAACGCAGTATCCAGCTGAGCATGCACTGGATTCCAAGCAACAGTCGATTGTTTGCAGTTCGCCTGAATGTATTTGTACGTGTCAATAGCAATAGACTGAAACATCGATGCTTGTTCGTCGTGTCTGTGTATGTGCCTAATGACAGCAGTTCCTTTGATGCCAAGGTCGAATTCTATCACAATTTCTGTCCGAGGCCTCGAAGCGGCGGTTATTGCTGGGGATTTCAGCGCCCAAAGTGGCCGTTTGGGAGATTCTGAAAGGCACACCTGAGGCCCATTTGCTATCGCACTGATAACGGCCATCGCCTCATCCAGCTGTTTTCCGACCACAGAGTGTTTTTGATGAGTACGAACTTCTGCCATAGGAAGCTGCATAGACTCACATAACGTCCTCCTAAGTCTTCACGACGGTGGAATGAGACTGACCACATTGTGATTAATCACCGCTGGCGTGGATTAACAGAACATTGTCGTTCATTTTGGTCTACGCTTGTGGACTTAGATCATGCCTTGGTACGTGCTCGCTTTCGTTTAGGTCTCGTCTGTGGTTGCACCAACGTAAACGCCACCTGTCCCGCGCAGTTACTTTTGGACGATAACCGGCGATATGATTTCCAGACGAAGCTGTTTACACGACTATTTAGGCAACCGGATGTCCAAGACCCAGATGAAGGAATCCTTGTATGCGTTTACCAATGCCACTCAGGACTCTGGTTTAAGTTGGTCTCACAAACGATGGATATCTTGGACATCAGTTGTTCTGTTGGATGCTCACAGATGCGTCCCTCCGGATGCCACATTCAATGAAGTGAGCAAATCCTTGAGACGCTAACTGACTGAGAGGCTAAGAAGTGACCGGGAAAAGTGGTGGATTGCGAAATGTCGGGAAATGGAGAAGGCTGCGTCTATTGGCAATACTCGCAGCCTCTACCGTTTGTTTGGAGGCACCAATCCACAGAAGCCAGGTGCAAGTGAGTATTTCAAGGAATCCAACGGCTCACTGACACTCTAAGGGAGACGTCTGGACAGTTGAGCGGAGCACCTGAAGGGACAGTTCAGCTGTCCCAATTCTACACAGGAAATTCCGAATGTATCTGCCAGAGAAACGATGCAGGTAGATATCACACTTCCATGCGAAATGGAGGCTATGCGAGAGACAGGTCACTTGAAAAGGTACAAAGGTGTCGGACCGGATGTATTGTCTCCATCATCCATCAGGAATGAAGTCGAAGCTTTGGTTTTTAGACTAAACAGAACACAGCGGCCTAACTCGGGATAGCGAACGGGGAATGGTGTGATTCGGTGATTGTGCCAATTTACAAGAAAGACAATAGGTCTTCCTGTGGGAACTACAGAGGAATTAGCTTGGTAAGTATCGCATCAAAACCGCTCGTCAGGCTAACGTTCCATCGGTTGACTGACGTCCATGAAAGTTGTACGCATCAGACTCAAACAGGTCCTAGACCCGGTCGGGATTGTCACGACCACATCTTTACACTCCAACAAAGCTCAGAGCACAGGCACATCTTCCGTAGGCCCACAACATCTCTTAAGTCTTTCATAATCTGAAAGTGACATATGATTCAGTCGATCACACTGGCGCTGCCTCTAACTGAAGGGTGCGCCGGACAAATTTATCTTTCTTTTCTAATGCTTGTACGCAAACAGCCGAAGCTGACTTCGTGCCTGCGGCGATTTCTCACCCAAGTTCATCACGAGAAGTGGTGTCTGTCAGGGTTGCTCCCTTTGGCTCTTCCTCTTCAATTTTGTAATTGAACTGATTCTTGAAATAGCTTTATTCTCTTGTGAGAATAGTGGCATGGATCTTTGGTCAGACAGCAAACTGTATGACTTGGAGTAAGCTAGGATCTACGACGAACAGTAATGTAGATGAGTATTGGGGCCATATCAAACAGGCAATGCACGTTGCAGCAGGTTTCACCCGTGGTCGCAGATCCGACGTCTATCAAAGACCCTGAATGTTGCAAGAGCTGATCAGGCTAAAAGAGCGAAAACATCAGCTCTCGAACAGTAAGATGGATAAGATACGGAGAAAGCTACAAAGACAAGTTACGAAAAGCCTTAAGAATGATCGCGAAAATTGGTGGGTCCAGGCAGCCGAAGAAATGGAAATAGCAGCTTCTTCAGGTAACAGTCAGAGACTGTTCAAACTTATTCGTGACACCGGTGGACGGCGAGCCCCGGTCGGTAAAACGATTTGCGATAGAAATGGAGGACCCATTCTTGACAAAGAGTAAAGGCTGTACTGTTGTGCCGAATACTTCAAAGAGTAGTTTAGCTGGCCGCGCGCTGATATAGTTAATCCGACATCAACAACTGCGATTCCTTGGGGAGTATCACTTGAGCCCCCATCGGAAATAGAAGTAGGGTCGAGTACTCGATTACCAAAGCGAGGGAAAGCGGTCGACCCTGACGAACTCCCTCTAGTTCTTTTCAAACTGGGTAGCGGTGCATTGATAAAGTCACTTACCACCTTGCTCCGAGACGTTTGGAAGGAGAAACGTATCCCACTATTATAGGGTGAATCATTGACCATGCCCATCTTTGGGAATGGAATACGCAATGACTGTAGTAATCATCGCGGGGTTAGCTTTATTATGATAGTCACCAAGGTACTAGCCTCGATTTTGCTGCACTGTCTTACACCGGCTCGCGAGAGGAACGCCCGCGAACAGTAGGCCAGATTCTTCCCAGTTCGAGGATGCACCGATCAGGTCTTTACACTTCGTCAATTACTGAAAGTCCGTCACGCACACCGTATACCGACAACAATGGTTTTTATCGACTTGAAAGGCGCCTTCGATTCAGTTGACTGGATGGAGCTATTCAATGCTCTTCAGCGAAAAGGTATACCACAGAAGTTCGTGAATCTACTGAGGTCGTTGTACTGTCATATATCTGGCGGCGCAAGGGTTTACGGTGAACTATCCGGTCTATTCGCAACGACCAGCGGTGTTCAACAAGGATGTCCCACTTCGTCATTCGTGTCAAACTTCGTCGTGGATGAGAAAATGGAGAATATTTTGGAAAATATTCAGGATACGGGCGTCGAACTAGGAGATAGTGGAAAGCTATACTAACTAGAATACGCAGACGACCTTGTCTGCTTGTTTCAGTGCACGGAAAATGCGCAACGTGCACTAGATAGACTCGCAAGAGCTGTAGTTCCATTCGGCATGCGCTTTGCACCTTCAAAGTGTAAAGTCATGTTGCAAGACTGAAAGTCAACGGTTCGGATCTTAATGAATCGCTTGTGGCGCCGACCTGATATTTCACTGAAGTTGAAAGGTCGTGTATACTGTGCCGCAGTGCGTTCAGTTTTGTTGTATGGTTGCGAGACTTGGGGTCTGCGTGCTGAAGATATTCGTCATCTAAGATTGGAAGGCATGACCGGGTAAGCAATAGTGAGGTCAGAAATTGAGTATTGGGTACCAGTTCAGAGGATATTCTGTCATAAGGTATCCAGTTTAGTAGACTTCGTTTGTTGAGGCACGTGATACATATGGCAAGTACACGTCTACCGTACCGTGTCCTACTTTCCGTTCCTCCTGGGGAGTGTAAGAATCCACTTGGAGGTCAACATATGACGTGGCAACGGGGAATGGGAAAATGTACATCGAAATTAGGAAAAGCAGGTGTTTCACGCCATTGTGGTCGGTGTCCAAAAGATCCCTCAACCAGCTACATGCTGAACTAACCACTAAGGATATCTTCTACAGTGAACTCCAGGGTTCAGTCAATCAGGTCCCTAGGCGCGATATCCTGCTAATTGCAGGAGATTGAGATGCCCGCACGAGACCAGCAGACGAGCTTCCCAAACACATTGGGGAATTCAGGCCTCGGCAAGCAATGCGAAAACGACGATCGCCTGGTCGCATTTGCAGACCTCAATCGACTGGTCGTCACCAATACCCCCTTCCAGTACCCAAAACGGCACTCGTTGACCTGATATTCCAACGATGGTAGGATAGCGCACCAAATCGACTATATTTTGATGCGATTTTTTTGGGCATCATTGGTTGAGAAACGTCGGGCATACCGGGATGGCGTAACGGGAAACGCCAACGGCACGGACCACACACTGATACGTTCTCGTCTTAAG